CTCTCTCTCTCTCTCTCTTCCAGTGGACCCTTAAGGTCAGAGGAGCCATCACAGCAACCCCAAACAAAAAGGTATTTGTGTCTTTTGTGTGGTTATTTCGTGCAGCCCAGTCAACCCAGTTCAACTCGAGTAACCCCTGAGCCTTTTAGTTGCGAGAACAGAAACCTGGCAATTATACCTGAGGAGACCTACATTGTGAGGAAAATGGGCTGGGCCGAGGGGACCAGAGTAAGAAGCAGGGACCACCGCAAAGCCCACACACTGAGAGCCAACCATAAGCCATGTGGGGCCATGAACACAGATGAGTCACTTGTGGCACTAACCACCAACATGGGAACACCCTCCCCAGTGAGCAAAGACAAGGTGCTGGAGATGAGACAGAGCTGGGGAAAGCACCCTGTGCTGCAGTCTAGAGAAGGCAAGAACCCCAAATTGCAGGCCAATGGTCGGATGAGGGGGGCCTACATGGTCCCAGGGAAGGGCTGGCAATGTGTAAAAGAACCCAGAGGGAGAAAGCAGAGCAAGAACCCGTCCAGGCACCTCTCAGGTCCAAGGCTGCCCTGGGCTGGTCCTCACAGATGGTCCCAGGGATGCCTTACTGTGAGGGTTCTAGAAAGAAGAGTGGCAAGACCTAGCTGAGCCCTTTGAGGACTGCATACTCAGCATGCTGTGCTAGGTAGGACAGAAGTCTAACAGGCCCCGAGCCTCTCAGTCCCCAGCCACAGGGGGAATGAGGCCAGCCTGCAGATGCCAGGGAAATGCAAAAACCAGTACCACAAGCCTGAGACAGGTGCACTGTGAGGCAGCACTGGAGGGTCACTGGGAGCACAGAGCCCAAGATTGATTGGCAAGCTTTTAATTTGGGATAAAAATACATACAACTTACCATCCTAACTACTTTAAGTGCACAGTTCAATGGCACTCACACATTCACACTGTTGGGCAGCTGTCAGTCATTGCCGCTATCCATCCATAGCACTCATCTTCTCAAACTGACCCCTTGAACCCATGAATACTGACCTCCTTTCCCCGGCCCCTGGAAATCTCCATTGTACTGTATCTCTATGGACCTGAAGGCTGTGGGGACCTAACAAATGAATCCCAAAGGACAGGTCCTTCTGTGCCTGGCTCATGCCACTGAGTGCCAGGTGAGGATTTGAACAGGAGATAGCAGGGCATACCAAGTGTGACAGCACAACCAGGAGAGGGGAAATAACATCAAAGAGGGAACATGCCTATGGCTAAGAGATGTTCCACAGTAAACAAGAAAGGACTTGACTGCAGGGCCCCTCGTGGTGGTTCAGTACCTCCACAAGGACTAGGGCTACAACCCAGGATTTCCTGGACGACTCTGGAGTAAGGTCATTCTAAAGGAACGGGGCACCCTCATTCAAGTTCTGGGAAGCAGGTGGGATTCTAGACAGGAAAGCCATTGTCTATGGAGCAGCATTTTCAAGGCTCTCAGAAAACAGCCCTTTCCCCAGGGATGGGGATCTGTAAGCAGCTGAGCTATAGCCTGAGTGACAGGGCCTCCCACAAGCTGGGAAGCATAGGGCCTGGGACAACTATACCAAGAATCATCAGGTCAAAGAGGTTGGGCTTTAGGGGTGTCTCTGGCCAGCATGGACACGCTTGTGTGCATGATCCCACAATGCAGCTTTGAGAGTACATGCCAACACACTAAGGGCCGCTACATATGCAACCATCAGCAAACTGAGCAGAGGGACCTCAGGGGCTACTGACCTTTAGCAGTGTATGAAACAAAAAGTGAAGCATGAATAGTTAAGCTACTAAAACTTAAATCAAAAACTGTTCTTTGCCAGGCACACTGGTATACACCAGTGTCTCAGGAGGCTGAGGCAGGAGGGTTCTAAGTTCAAAGCAGCCTCAGCAAGTTAGTGAAACCCTGTCTTAAAAAATGAAAAGGGGGCTGGGGATGTGGCTCAAGCGGTAACGCACTTGCCTGGCATGCACGAGGCACTGGGTTCGATCCTCATCACCACATAAAAATAAAATAAAGATGTTGTGTCCACCGAAAACTGAAAAATAAATATTAAAAAAGTTCTCTCTCTCTTAAAAATAAATAAATAAATAAATAAATAAATAAAAAGGGCTAGGGACATGCTCAGTAGTTAAGTGCCCCTGAGTTAAACCCCCAGTACCGATAAAAAATAAAAAAAAAAAAATTATTCTTTAAAACTTTATTAAAATAAAATTCTTGTGGGGCTGGGGTCATAGCTCAGTGGTAGAGTGCTTACCTAGCACACGCGAGGCACTGGGTTCAATCCTCAGCACTACATAAAAATAATAAAATAAAGGTATTAAAAAAATAAATTACTCATAAGACTGGGGATATAGTTCAGAGGTAGAGTACCTGCCTAACATATACAAGGCCCTGACTTCCACCCCCATCACCACAAAAAATAAATAAACAAAATACTCATAGGTGAAATGATACGATATGTTTCCAGAAGGGAAATGTGGTAAAGGATATTGCTGAAAGAGGATTGGAAAAGGACGGTCACTGCTGCAAGTGACAGGGCCAGGAGCTCCCACGCTGACCCACTCTCAGCTTATTGCTCCCTGCTCACACTTGCTGTGCATGAAGCCACAGTAATACATAAAAATTTTCTCCTGGGCTGAGGGTGTACCTCACCAGTAGAGTGTGTGCTGAGCGAGTGCAAGGCCTGGGTTTGATCTCCCTTGATGGTTCCTGAAGTTCCCAGCTGAGCCCAGGGTTCTCGACAGCAGATGTGGTGTACCACCACACTTAGGCAATCAGAACCAAGTGCAGTCTCCTTTCAGCCCACACAGAATTCCAGAAAGCTCCTTTTCTCTTTTCTTTTTTATTTTTTTGGTGGTACTGGGAATTGAACCCAGGGCCTTGCTCATGCTAGGAAAGTACTGTATCACTAAGCTGTGCCCCCAGCGCTTTTTAATTTTTGAGACAAAGTCTTGCTAAGGTGCTGAGACTGGCCCCAAACTTGTGATCCTCCTGTCTCACCCTCCAAGTTGCTGAGATTACAGCCATGTACCACTACCACACCTGGTTGATAACAGTATTTATTCAACCAGAACTTGACTTTAATTTTTAAGTAAATACAGTTGTTGTAATGCTGCATTTCCCAACAACACAACATGGGATGAGACCAAGCACACTGGCTACTCCTGCCTCTCCCATGCTGGCGTGCACACCCATATCTGAGAGGCCTCTGTGCCCACCACCCAGCCCCTGCACTCAGCCCTACTGCAGTAGTGGGACCACCTGACCAGAGGCTCTCTATAGCCATTTAGATAGCTCAGACTATGGGGCTTTTTAAAACCATTCCATTCTTTGAAAGAAAGACATCACCAAAAGGAAAAACAGAGCCAAAGGTTAAACAGAACTTTTGTCATTTTTCCAACTTTTCAATAGCCCAGACTATCAAGAGAAAACTGCTTTAGCAGTCAAGCAATAGATGTGGGCTGGGCAAGAGGAGAGAGAGACTCTACAGAGAACAAGATCTTTGTCCCTGCCCCTGATACTTACTGCCAGGAAGAGGTTGTATCAATAAAATCAGGCCATGGCCAAGCTGCCCCAGAGCAGTGCCTGCCCCTCCCACATGACCAAACCCAACTCCTCTCAGGGACTTTCCAGAGCCCTCAAAGGGCAAAGCCAGGGACTTTCCATCCTGCATGCCTGTGGGGCCGCGTGGCACCCAAGCCCATGCCTGGCTGCTATCCCTAGCCCTCAGTTGAGGCCCACATAGCCACTAACCTCACCTACCACGAGCTTAGAGGCGACAGAGACCACAGAGGGATCCAGAGCTAGCACAGAGCTGGGGACTGTTATTTTGCCTGCTCTAAGGGATCTCCAGGGTCCCTTAAGGGCAACAGGACATACAGCACCCCAGATGCTTATGCCCACATTGTCCTTGTACCCACCCAGGATCCCACCCTCCCAGAAGACCCTGATCCCACATCAGCTCCCTAGGGACCAGCTCTCTCAACAGCAATGAACAGTAGTTCACTCTGGGCAAACAGCCAAGGTTGTGACCACATGATCAGGCTGTGAGAGACCCCAAGCTGGTGAGGACAGTGCAGCTCTTGTTTACCCAGGTACAGCCCAAATTGTTCTTCTGGCAAAACAGAACTGATAACCCAAAGATCACAAAGTGGAGTTGATCAAAACAATGAGGAATGTGGCTCAGTGGTAGAGCACTCACCTAGGAAGTGTGAGACCCTAGGTTCAATCCTCAGCACCACATAAAAATAAATTAAAAAAAGGTTGTATCCAACTACAACTAAAAAATAAAAATAAATTAAAAAAACAATGCAGGAGGGGCTGGAAATAGCTCAGCGATAAACTGTGTGCTTAGCATTCACAAGGACCTGGGTTTGATCCCCAGCACCAAAATATTTAAAATATTGGAAAAAACAAGAACAGGGAACAAAATAGGAAAAACCCACCAGGAACCAGGATTCCAACTGCCCCAGGGTCCTGCTCAGTCAGAGACACACAGGCCCACTACCAGGGCATGAAGGCATCCCAGTGGGCCTTGGCCCCAGCAACCTGACCTGGGAGTCCTGTGCACATAGAAAAGTCAGGGTTCTGAGCAAACAGTCCTTCACAATCTCACCACCCAGGACTGGATGGGATTGCATCAAGATGCCTCCCACTTTGAGATCCCAATTTATTACTCTGCACCCATCAACGTGGTACAACTTCCATCCCCTAGTACCCATCATTCTACTGTGTGTCTCCATGGATTTGATGACTCTAAGGACCTCATATAAGGGCAATCCTACAGGGTTTGTCTTTCTGTGGCTGGCTTCTTCACTCAGCATGCTGTCCTCAAGGCTGTAGCAGGTTGTCACAGGTCTCTTCCTGTTTAAGGCTACACAACGTTCCATACTATGGAAGGACCATGTGCTATTTATCCATCAGACGCCAGTGGATGCTTAGGCTGTTTCCACCTTGAGCTACTGTGGACAGTCTACTGCTGTGAAACGTTCAGAACTAGCACCTGAGATAGAAACTTTTAAAAGGGCATTTACTAAGATGAGAAAGAATGAGTAAGTTGGTGGACTGCAGTAGCCGAACTAGCTCTCAGCACCTCTCAGCTCACACTGAAGGTTTAGCAGCAGATGCCTAAAGGTGAGGTGAGGATCACAATGAAGTCCCCAATATGCTGACACAGGACGAGTCAGCCTCAGCTGACACAGAGACAGTGCATAAATCAGGCACCATTCACTACTGTCACTGGCCAGAAGCCTTTTGAGATCACAGAACCTCTGTGCCCATTTCCAGTCCAACAAGATTAACAACAAGGATACCTTGTAGACACAAGGGATACAACGCAAAACCCTACCAGGCTTGGAAGCTGCTCGCCACTGCTGGTAAACCTACGGCTGAAACACACACTCTCCAGGGCTAGCATGATCCCAGGACCTCACACACATGGGTGGTCTTCACACACCTCCAGTCCTCACCAACCCCACAACAAGGGGAGCTACATCCTATGAGCAGACAAAGAAGTTGAGGCACAGAGAGGGGAAGTATCAGACCCCGTGGTACAGGCCTATGCACAGCATGGTTTGAGTTTCTGAAAGAACATTTCTAACCTATACCTCTGAGCTATATCTCTCTAAACACATCAGACAGGCTCCATCCCACCAAGAGCAGAGCACAGCTCCAGTCAAAGCTCCTGTGAAGGGCAGAAATCTCAACTCCCTGGCTCTAGCCACCCAACATACCTGCGGGCCTCTTGGAGCCGCCCAGCAAAACAGGAATGTCTGTCTTTACCTCATATTCTTTCAGGGTCCCCTTCCAAGTGCACCCATCATTGGGACAGACGGCCGGCAGGCTCTCCACCTCCCTGCGGGCAGCATTATCTGGGAAAGCCTGGGAAAAAGAAAGCCAGGGGTTAGGCCTCCTCCCAGCACCCAGCTGCTATTGAAGTGCTGTCCAAAGCGCAGGACTCAACATGCACAGTCTTCCTGAGCAGCTCCAGAAGCAGAGGATAACTATGAGGACCACCTCACCTCTGTGCACCAACCCTGAACATTCATGTCTGCTCATGGGCAATTTCTAGCTTCTAAGGTCTCATTCTGCCACTTATGTTATTAAAGGAAATTCCAAAATATTTTCTTTTAACTTCAACATTTTTAGCTTTAAGATGTTGTACTTACCGAACTGCTTTCTAAAATAGAAATGCCTTCTTCATATATGCCCTCATGAACACAGGCAGCGCAATTCTGAGGCCCAGAGCTGCTGGGAACAGAGGAAAACAGAACCCCACTGTAAAAACTATTACAATGAACAAACAGGCCAGGCATGGTAGTGCACATCTGTAATCCTGGTGAGAAGTTAATTCCTGCTGTCTGTTCACGACGTGTGTTAGGCAGCTGAACAGACCAAGATGCAGGGTTGTGTGGGTGTAGAGCCCACACCTGAGATCCCAGTCACTTGAAGGCTGAGGCAGAAGGGTCTCCAGTCCGAGGCCAGAATCAGCAACTTTTTTTTTTTCTTAATATTTATTTCTTTTAGTTGTACACCATGCCTTTATTTTTATTTATTTATTTTTAGGTGCTGCTGAAGATCAAACCCAGGGCCTTGCACACGCCAGGTGAGTGCTCTACCACTGAGCCATAACCCGAGCTCCAGAGAATCAGCAATTTAATGAAACTTTGTCTCAAAACACAAAAATTAAGTCTGGCATGGTGGCCCATGCCTGTAATTCCAGTGGCTCAGGAGGCTGAGGCAGGAGAATCACAAGCTTAAGGCCAGCATCAGCAACTTAGCAAAGTCCTGTCTCAAAATATAAAGAAGGTTAGGGATGTAGCTCAGTGATAGAGCACCCCTAGGTTCAATACCCAAGACCAAAAGAAAAAAAAAAAAACAACAAATGAACAGAATTTGCCCAGTCCATAAATTCCACATCATAAGTTCTTCTTTTAGTCATTTAATTGTAGATGGACACAAGACATTTAATTTATTTATTTTATGTGGTGCTGAGGACGGAATCCAGTGCCTCACACATGCTAGGCAAGCACTTTCCCACTAAGTACAACCCCAGCCCCCCATAAATTCTTAAAATTTTCTCACATTTTTCTTTTCTTTTCTTTTCTTTTCTTTTTGGTACCAGAGATTGAACCCAACAGCACTTAACTACTGAGCCACATCCCCAGCCCATTTTTACATTTTGAGACAGGGCCTCATTAAATTGCTGGGGCTGGATTTGAACTTGCAATCCTCCTGCCTCAGCCTCCTAAGCCACTGGGATTACAGGTGTGCACCACTGTGCCCGGCACTTTCTCACCTTAAATTAAATCAACAGCATATATCAAATGTACAGTATTTAAAAGATTTCAAACAAATGAGACAATTCAAACCCTGAAAGGGACATGGAGCTTGGACCTCTGAGGCTATGACTTATGACTCTGCTGTGAACGAGGCACACGCTCTCTGAAAAGCCACCCAAAAGTACACATTGCAGATGCCCTCCCTAGAGGCACAGCCACTATCACGCAGACCATGACCACGGGTTTTCTGCCACTGTCAGGCACAGAGCTCACCCTCAGACCACTGGATAGCCAACACACACCAACCAGCCACTACCAAGGAGTGACATGCCCTGCCCATCTGGAGCAGTGTAGAGAGCCGTAAGCCTCATATCAAATTTAGAAACTCTAGTACACTCATTACCAACAACCAAAAACAGGTGAGAGACATCTTAATGACATATTGTACTTAACCCCACATATCCGAAATTAGCATTTCAACAAACAATAAATGATTAACTTCACATTCTTTGTGCTAAGCCTCTGGAGGATTCATACTAGGAGCGACCACACTGGGGGACACATCTCAAGCAAAAGTGCCACCCACCTGTCCCCACCCATCCTGGGTAGTTGGCCATGCGCACCTGAGGATGCTGGTTAGACAGAATGAGCAATAGCGATGGCCACACTGGGCCTGGAAGGGCCTCCGTAGGACATTTCTGCAGGCAGAGCACAAATACTTGGCCTCTAGCTTGGTCCCGAGGAGGGTCTTGGAGAAGCCGGGCTGCAGCAGATCTAGAGAGCCAGGGGGTGTCACACTGGCTGCAGCCATGAGAGCTGTATCCCCTACACGTCACGAAGCCCTAAGGAAGAACACAGCCCACGTTACGCTTCAATTCCCAAACAAACCTCTGGAGGGAAAAATGAAGACGATGGAGCCCACCAGTAGCAAGTGGTAAAGGGTCTGAGCAACTGCATCTGCACAAACCTGTAACGGGGACCTAGCACAGAGCTCTTGGGAGCCTTGGTGACAAGCTAGTCCAATCTCCTGTTACGATGTGGAACCTGCGGCTCAGAGAGGGTGATGGCCATACTCTGGTGCACATGCAGACCATGACCACGGGTTTTCTGCTGGCATGAACCCTGGCTGGGAAAACAGGCACCTTCTGGCTTACACTAAAGTACACCATCCTCCATCCTGTGCCCATGGTCCTACAAAAAGCGTGTTTGGGGATGGTGCCCACCTGCCAGTTTGTCAGGTCCTAGACAGTGCCCAGAGGCAGCCCCACTTGGGCAGAGAATGCAGCTGACTAGGCACTGGCCATTGTGCTCCCCGTTTGCTCAGTTCCTGCACCATCCAGGCTAACCACAGAGCTCTGTGTGCCAGCTCAGCCCTGGCACCTGTTGGTACTTGGCCTCAGTAAGCCCCACAGAGGAGCTTTACTTGGATTGCCCAGCGTCTTGTGCCCATTTCTTCTGCCTCTTCTAAAGACTGCCAATTGAACCTGCAGAGCTGCCTCTTCCTACCCCCACCTCCACCCCATTCTCCTTTCTGATGAACTGTAGCACTTCCTCATCCGCCCACCTCCCTCACCCTCCGGCACTGACAGTCTCCACTGGGTTCCTGCTCCAGACAGAGCAGGCTTCTCTCTTCCCTGCCCATCAGGAGGCCTCACTATGCAGAAGCCCGGGAAGAGGCATCTGCTTTGGGCTGGATGATGATGGGCAAGGATGCCAAGACCCACTGATCAGGCAGAGAGGAAAAGCAAACAGCACCTAGCTGCCAAGCGTTCTCCTCCCAGACAGCAGCCCTGTCTCGGATCTTGGCAGCAACATCCATGAGTTCAGTTCCCCTGAACTCCCTGGCAGGGGAAAAGGGGGCCAGAAAGGACAATTTACTACAAAGTTCCCAATCATGGCCTTGGACCCCTCTCTTCTGCCAACATTTTCAGGAGCAGAGGAGAGGACAAGCACCCCTGCCCCAGGAAATTTAGTAAAGCCCAGGTACACAGATCTCAGAGCTTCTGGCTAAAGTGAAGTCAATTCCCATGTGTTGGGTCCAGTGGGCACAGAAACATCCATGTCACAGGCAGGCACCAATGAGAAGCTGTGAACCAGAAACGCAGCTGGACAGCAGCACAGACATGGGGAGCCCTGGGTTCCCCAAGCTGCAGCAGGACACCTCTGACGAGACAAGCAGGACTGCTGCTCACAACCTCACACCTGGCAGGCCACAGCCCCAAGAGCATGCTGCTTGCTAAGGACAGCTTCCCTGCCACAATCCCCTTCCAAAAGCAGCCTACAGACTGGGACCAACCTCTGACTACACTGTTCTCAGGGCCCCTCCTGGTGAGAAGGATGTGGGAATCAGGTACCTCTCAGGCAGAAGAGCAAGCTTGTACAAGTGAGGATAAGGGGGTAAATGGGCGCACTCCCAACCTAGCACACAGCTGAGGGGCGGACCCAGGTGGCAGTGGGTGCATGCCCTGGAGCAAGGAGCAGGAAGGAGGGCCTGGTGTCTGAGGAAACTCCTTAGAAGAAGTAGGCAAGCCAGAGAGGCTGCAAGCAGCTTGAAGCAATACACTCCCAAGAATCTCTTCAGAGCAAAACTCTGGTCATGTTTTATTTAAGGAATCAGCTCTCAGAACTACTCCAAAATTCAAGACACAAATATGTTTCCCCTTCCGCTGCAGGAGCAACAGGCATGCTGACTGCCCTGTGCATGGACAACAGCCCTAGCCAGGGCCCTTGCTGCCTCCTGGAGCCTGACTACTCTCTTCAGCTGGGCTGTGCGGGTCTACCTGGCTACAGGCCCTATCAATTTGCCTGCCCAAGGTCCAAGTCATCAAGGGTGTCCTGGTGGCCCTCAATGCCTTAGGTCACCCTGATCCTGGCATCAGCAGGGCCTCATCCAGCAGTCAGATCACTGGTGGCAAGACTATGGTGAGGTAAACAACACTGTTGTGTGGTCATGACCCAGCAGTGCAGGTCACTCAGTCCCACAACTGCTCACCTGCAGCAGACCCAGTGACTAGACAGTCCCAGATAGATCCAGGAGGCTGCTAATGCCCCTCCTTCCTCCTCTCTGGTCTCTATCCTGGATGCTGCCCCAGAAAGTGGGCTTTCTGGTCTCAAGACCACTTGGCACTTGCTAGGGACTTGCCAAACCCAGAAGATTGGGTCCATTCCTTGCTCAAGCACCAGCCAATTCTGCCCATTCTGCCTCCCACACCCGCAGTACTAGTCCCTCTCATCTCCACCCTGCCCCCTGCTTTTCTCCAACACCTGCCAGATGGAAGCCTTCACCTAAGGTGTCCTGCGCACTCAGAAGAAAACTAGTTACAGACCCCACCACTTTCACTGTGACCCCAACCCCACTGGTGTCCACTGCTGTCCCAAACACACTGAGCCTCGGGCCCCTCCTTTAAACATGCCCTCACTGCCCACACAGTGCACACTCGGGCCTGCTCCTTATGCCTGTGGCCCTGGGAGGTCACTGAGTGACCTAAACACTGACAGAATGTTCCTGGACACAGTAACACAGCCTGTCAAGGTATACCAGCTGATTTTGAAGATGGCTATCTGATTTATGAGCTGTTTACTATTCCTTCAAGCACACCACAATTTTGATTACATATATTAAAATAATCCCACAACACATACCACACAACAGTAACTGCTATGTTTTCAGACCCCCAGCAGCCAACATGGCTGGTCCCTGTGGACAACTACCTCCAGAGACCTCACATCAAACCTCTATGCAAAAAAATTACTAAAAGAAAAAAAAAAAAAAAACATGGAACATCCAGAGCTCAAACCTACAAACCCTAGGAAAGGGGCAACTATGACAGCCCCTGAACAGGAAGCACATTTAACTCAGAAATCCTGTGGCCCCAGAAGTTGCTACACCCCTGCTCACTCTTGGAAACAACTTACACATCTCCAAGCAACACTCCAACCCCACATCTGTAGGACCAGCACCCTCCATGGCAGAAGGAACAGACTTCCAAGCCATTAGGTCACTGCAGAGCCTCTCAAAGACCTGCAGAGGGCAGCAACCAAGAGATGCTCTCACTGTCCTAGGCTGGTCTGACACCGTAGAACAAGATCCTATGGGTCATCTTACATCTGCTGGACACTACCCAATTTCAACCAACACTTTTAAATTTATAATTCAATGATACCTCATCTATATGACAGAGACCACTCCCCTAAGCACCCAACAGAAGTGATGCTGGGGCTCCACATGCCCAAGGTCCCCTGGAGAGAGAAAACACTTGTGTCTATCCTGAAGTGGATGTGCTCTCCACACCACGTATGCCCACCCCTGTTGACGGCATATCTTTAAAAATGTCTTTGAGAGGCTGGTGCAGGGGCATGTACCTACAGTCACAGCTACTCAGGAGTCTAAGGCCAGAGGATCACCTGAGCTCAAGAGTTTGAGGCCTGGGCTGGGGCTGTGGCTCAGACGTAGAGCACTTACCTAACATGCGTGAGGCACTGGGTTCGATCCTCAGCACCACATAAAAATTAAAAAATAAAGATTTTTGTGTCCACCTATAACTAAAAAAATAAATATTAAAAAAAAAAAGTGTTTGAGGCTAGACTGAGCAACACAGCAAGACCCCATCTCAAAAAAAAAAGAAGTCCAGAGAGCTCACAAAACACCAACACTAGCCAGGACAGACAAAGGCAATCCTGCTTACCTCCACAGCACACAACAAGACAGCACCCTCAGTTTACAGCTTCCAGTGGTCCTGTGTGACTTACAGTATCTACATATGCAACTGAAACAAAAGGCTCGTTAAACTATACTTACTCTTCATGAGCGGTAGGTATTCTGAATTTTCTAATTTCTTTTTTTTTTTTTTTTGGATAGAAGCTGCTTAACTGATTTCATGAGCCACTGCAGCTGGGCAATGCTAGCACATGCCTACAATCCCAGCAGTTGAAGGCTGAGGTAGAAGGATTCCAAGTTCAAGGCCAGCCACAGCAACTTAGCAAGACCCTGTCTCAAAATTAAGCATTAAAAATGGGCTGGGGGTGTATCTCAGTGGTTAAGTACCCCTGGGTTCAATCCCCAGTAGCAAAAATAAAAAATAAAAAAGTTACACTGCAGACCTTTCAGGTTCCAGATTGGTTTTACTGTGAAGTCGTGCTCTATCAGAACAGTGGCTTGAGAACAGAACTGACATCCACATGTATTTGAGAGAGAGAGAGAGAGAATGTGTGTGTGTGGGGGGGGTGGTCATAGGAAGTTCTGATTTCCTCACTCTCAACTGTAGTCCACATACAAATGCTCTAGCTTCATATAGAAGACTTACATTTTACTAAAAGGGCATCCCAAGCCAGGCAGGGTGGTGCACACCTACAACCCCAGCTACTCAAAGAGGCTGAGGCAGGAGCATCCCAAGTTCCAGGCCAGCCACAGAAACTTAGCAAGATGTCATTTCAAAATAAAAAGGGCTGGGGGTATGGCTCAATGATAAAGTACTTGTCTAGCGCGGAGGAGGCCCTGGGTTCCATCTCCAATACTGCCAAAAAAGGAAAAAAAAGGGCATGTCTACCAGACACAAAACAGCATTTGGGGAATGGTACCAGTTATGTGCAGTTCAAGGCTAGGCAAAACAAACCTGTGATGACAGAAGTTGAGTAGTCATTATCTCTGGAGGTCAGTGTTGCCCTTCAGGGTGAGGAAGAAGCCTTCAAGGGTACTAAAAATGATGTACATGCAGACAAAAATATACATGGCTGACTACTTAGAATTTATTCACAAAAACATAAAGCTGAATTTCTATTTCCAAAGAGCTAAAAAAAGATGGTGATGTGCTTAATTACCACAGACACATGCCTCCTTCTCCAAAATAATCCAATCTCCTAAATATCAAAGAGTGGCAAAGAGAAACCTCAATAATGGGCCCCCCAGCCACCCCGGAGATTGTGGGCTATCAGCACCTGGCCGCTGCCTGCCCCTTCCCTCTGCTACAGGGAGAACCTGGCAGCATGTGCCCTACATAAGTCCAGCTCCAGCCCAGGTACTATAGTCCTGGGCCACTGTCTAGGGGAAAGAGCAGCAAGCAAAGGGAAATAGGGACATGCCCCCAAGAATACTATGTGACCCTAATGAGGCTGAAATCACCTAAGCTTGCACTTAAGATTCAATACCCCTAATCTGGAATGTGAACATGGCTGAGTAATATTGTTGCAAACCCCAAAAAGCAGATTGTATGTTATGAAAATCAACACTGCCCAAACCAAGACATCAAAAGCAGATAAGGATGCAACCTGACCATGTGGGGTGGCACTGCCTTGCTCCTGGCCAATGTTGATGTTTATGCCAGAGCCTTATTCTTCAAACAGCAGACTCCGGAATAACCCAAATGCTAGGGATTCAAGCTCCCCAAATGTGTGTTTCCACCAATGGCCCACTACTGTTTTATACAATTTTAAGATTCCACATAGTAGTCCACTTGCTCTTGCATACTTCTAACGCATGTACATAACAGGCAAGATTTAATCTGCACACAGCCCAAGTATGAGGCCCCTCAAAGTACTAGAAATCCACTTCAAAATTATAATTTTATACCTAACCTCATCTTTTTTTTTTCAGGCACAACATAATAGCAAACAGAAACTTGTACCAATTTGAATACCTGAGGATATTTTCTACAAAAATATCACAAGCAAATGCTGTGGGAAAGGACAAGTGTTGGATGATGTTTATTCATACAATCAGTATTTAGTTTCTCTTATTAAAAGCTAGGTCACTGGGCTGTGGTGTGGCTCAGTGGTAGAGTGCTGGCCTAGCACTCATGAGGCCCTGGGTTCCAGTCCCAGGACCACACACACATGCGTACAATAGGCTTACCAACAGAGAGGTTATTTAAACTATGAAGCAATAGTGTTTCTTTGAGATCATGTGGGTACATGATAGGGTCTGTTTTCTGATGGCACCGGCTATAGGAACTCTGCTCCCTGACCACTTCATGTGGAGTGTCAGGGATTGGTCAGCAACTCTGTATATATCCCCAAATGTGTAGACAGTTCCAGCCCTGACCAATGCACCAGCTTCCCTGCGGCCACCCAGGCCCTCCTGGCCTTACTCTCCTCCCTGCAGCAAGGACCTTTTACACAGGATTCAGTCAGGACCTCTCCTCCACCAAGAACCCCAACTCCACCTGTCATACCCACCCCCAACTGCCACCTTTCCCCAAGGGTCTTGGTCTTCCAGGATAACCCTCCTTAAACCTGCACCAGCTCCTTCAACTACCAGCACTTGACTCGTGGGCAGCCTGCCAGGAGGCCAACTCGGAGGCACGAGTCCAAAGTCTAGGCCATTGCCAGGCCTCCACGCTCTCCCACTACCTCCCAGGTAGGCGCCCTGCGCGGCTGCACTGCAC